GACATTACTCACCATGGAGCAGTACAGTCTAGCAACATTTTGTTTGATATTGCATCCCTCCTTTAACAGTAGCTCCTCTTGAGAATGAGTACAGTGCTGAGAAGTGAATTTCCTTAATTTTGGTCCCCAGCTGCAATGTCACACAAACAAAGCCACTGGCCTGGATCATTATGTCTGTTAAGGCCCAAATCCAGCTGTTAGTTATCTGTTCAGTTTGCCCAGAGGAGTTCAGCATGATCTATAGCAAGGGATGAAACAGTTCCCCACTATCACCAAAGTCATTAGATGCGCTAACCTTACTGTCTCTCTGCTAGTTTGGGCCTTGGATGGTTTCACTCCCTTAAGAATACTCTCCTCAGTATAACCTGAGTGATTCCCAAAGTACTGTGCAAAAGTCTTAGGCCACCATTAAACTTGTTGTTTTAGCAATGTTATGCTGACTATATATTTTTATTTCTCACTCTTTGTCAGAATACAACTAGAAAATATTCATATTAAAAACAAAATAATGTCAGGAAAAAAAAATCTGCAAAAAACTTGATACTCCAGATGTGGTTTTCAAGAATCTGTAGAGGTCAAGGACAAAAATAGGAATAGAAAAACCAAGAAACTGTCAAAATCAGATGAGAAATTTCTCAGTTTCTTCTTTGAGAGACCAGAGGAAATCCAGCAAGGACCTGGCTCAGCATCTGGCAGCTTGGCAGTTGGTCCTTCCACAGTCTGAAGAAGCTTGATCAGGAATGGCCTTTGTAGAAGGACAGAGCTGAGAAACCACTTCTTCACAAGGGGGGCACGGAGAAAAGGCTGATGTGCAAAAACTTGTATAGATTAGAGTGAAGATCAGTGTGAAAAGGTTTTATCATCAACAGTATGTGATAAGAAAAATTGGAGACAGGTGGAAGAATGAGTATAGCGGCCTTCAGTGAAACATGGTGGAGGGTGTGTCATGGTTCTAAGACTGTCTCCAAAAGAATTCAAGCTGTGTTAAGTGCAAAGAGAGGTCACACTAAATACTGACTTTGGACTGCCATTTTGTCCTGAAACTTGTGAGTTTATTAATATTGTGTACATATTTCATGTATTTTCTGGTTTTAACTTAAAGAGAAGTAAATATAAATTATAATTGCAGCCTTGCTAAAACAGAAAAATTAATGGTGGCTTAAGACTTTTTGCACAACACCGTATGTCTCATAGAAATGAGACATCATCAGCCTACTGGTGTGCATTGATTGTTGTTATGGAGGGTAAACATTAGTTTGAGCTCTTTCAATAGTGTTTGCTTGGAGGGGAATACAGTTCAATTAAGAACCATTCTCTTCTTCTTTTAGGAGAAGTCTGTTCTCTGTTTTTATTGTGATCAATTCTCTGTTTAAACAAAATAACCAGGATTTAATATCTGCGCAATTGGCCCAAATTGTGATTCAGCAGCAGCCACACAACATGAAGTAGATTAGTGTTTGCTCTAGAGGAGAGTTTAGACTTCTAATGAAGTTTAGTGGAACACTGCAGAGACTAACAGCTTGTTCAGAGGCCTTCTGACTCTGCTAAGAATAGGAATTCCACGAGGGTGAAAACTGCAGTGCCTTAAGCCTTTAACTTTTGGTACTTTGGAGATCCTTGTGAATAAAGCATCAAAAATTCAGCATGTCTTGCCTAGTGAAAGAGGCTGAAATGCTTTGCTGTGTGTATTTCAAAACTCCATGCATAGATTAGTTTGTTTGAAAGCCAAAAATAGTACACTAAGCCACTGATAAGTATATCTGACGACAAGAAAGTGTTTCTAGAGCTAATTGAAACTCCACATTCAACAACACACACACTTTTTTTAAATCACAAACCTTAATATTTCTCTGCTCCTTTTGTCTGACAAACACACATTCATTAGAGCAAATAGAATTAGGGGAATTCAGAGGCATAATCTTTTTTCCCCACTGATGTGGGGGTACCAAGCCCTTAATTTCCCACCTCTAACTATGACTCCAGCTCCACTTGCGATAAAGAAGGTTCGAGTCACTAGAAACTCACGGCACAAGAATGATTTACAGCACTCACATGTCACAGGCCATTAGATGTGCTCGGTCTAAGTAGGTTTCAGTGCTTATACAAGTGTGTCTGGGGGATCTGTGGGTGTGTTACTCTGTAGAAATATTTTATTTTAGAAAGCTCAGGTGTGGTTAAGGGAGACAGTACTGGGTCTGTGCTTACTACAGACAATTTTGGATGTAAGTGAATTTGTACACTGCCTCTCTCTCTCTCTCTCTCCCTTACTCTTTTCATTTCTCACTGCTGTTTGTCTTTTTACTCAGTAGTGACTTGTAAAATATGACAATAGGATGAGTATGTGGTGTAAGTGTGTGTTTGTGTCTCCGTATGTCTGTTTCCCATCTGAAGGAGGGAATAAACTATCAAAGCAGCAGGTTTGCTCAGGTCACAGGGTTACTTTCCCATTACTGTTGTAAACAGATACCTCATAGTCCTGCTACCATCATGCATTTATTTCTCTTTGAAATGTATATTCGCTTATTTAAATGCACAGACAGTAACATGACAAGTGAGACAGTGGAGTCACACACAGCCATACTAAAAATGCAAATAGTAGACCACACATGCACACAAGTTGTTATACCAATTGTTTTCCTCAGCTGGCAGAGCTTAGATTTTTCTCTTTCTTTTTATATTCTTTATCTCTATCCTCGATGAATTATACATCCACATCCCAAAGTTGGAGTTTCTAGTTGTATTCTTCTGGCAGAGGAGGCCAGTCACAGTATTCAAGTGTGCCAAATATGAACTCTCATGAGGTTCACTGAGCAAAATACAACAGAAAAGCAAAAGAACAAAATTGCGTTGTTCCAATATTTGATATTCTTCTGCCAAGAAACACTGATGCTGTCCACTTAGTGGTGCGCAATGATTGCTTTTTTTTAGAAGAAAAACTTATCAGTCGTTTGCTTTTCTAATACTCTTTCTGTGACAAAGTGAATGAATACTGCTCCAATTTAAGAATTAATTTTGACATTGCTGTGGCCCAACAAAGTCTAATATGTTTTTTTTAGTAAACAAGCCCCGCCCCTGACACAAGACACCCAAGTGTGGAAAGTCAGGACATCACTTGGTGCTTCAGCACCACTGAAGATGATCAGTTTACCCAATTCTGCAAAGCTCAGGAAAAATCCTCCACCTTTTAAAATGGCAAAGGCAATTGTAGATACAGGGTGACAGGACTTCAGATGACACTCAAAGGAAGTAAAGACAGTGAGAAGGGTACTTCAGAAATATTCCAGTTAAACACACATAGACATGCACCTCAAACACACATACACACTGTTTTTAATTTCTTCATACAGTGCTGTGCTCAGCAATTGTGTAGAAGAAACAGACAGCTGACATGCCTCATCTTTTGTTTTAGATTGGCAGTTAAGTTTAACTTCCAAAGAATACCAATAAGATGTCAGTACAGTAAAAGGTCCTCCCTGGCTCTGCCCCTCTGTGAAGAGAAATCGATCTGCCTGTCGTGCTACTTATGTGTGTATGCTTCTATGTGTCTCCTGTCACTCTGTCAACCTGTTTGTCTGTCTGCCAATCTGGTTGCTGCTGTCTCTTTTGTGTCTTGTCTTCATCAAATCTTCTTTTCTCTCCCCTTATTTTGTCAGCTCTGACATCAATGTTGAAAAGATGACCACTTTTTGCCACCACCAGTTGACTTTTTTGTAGATCCCTATGTCATTCCTCATTCAATTTTCAACTTATTTACTACTTTTGCTTCTCCTTGCCATGTTTACTTCCTTCACATCTCTGAACCAACAATGAGTCTACAGTTGCATTTTAACACTGAAAATGACAACTTGCCTTGACATCCCTGAGAATTATTAATTATTAATCACAGTCAGGCATGCATGGAGCTAGCTGCCTGCTCCTTGCTAGCATAGCTTCCTTGGTCAGTGGTGGGGCTAGCAGTGGAACACTTGTTAAACTGCTGTGCTGAGAAGAAGTTTGTGAGTGGAACATGAGTCCACAGGTTTATTCCTCTGTTCTTGCTCCTGCAGTGCACCCAACTTGTATTTGTTCCCCATTTTTACCAATATCCTCAGAATAGTTAGCTTACCCACACTATGCAAGTTAGAGAAACAGCACGCATGCATCTGCACTTAAAAGGCTGTGGTCATGTTCTATGAAATAATGCGCATGCACACACAGCTCTCTCCAGACTGACACCAGACATCTCCCTCTCTCTCTCCAGATTAAAGGCATCATCGGATGTCAAACTGATTTCAGAAATTTTCTAACCTGTACATTTTTTATGCTTTCACTGCTCCTTCGAAAAAGGAGGGAAACAGAAATACAGCAGACAAACCAATATGACACTGGCAGCCAAATTTAATCAAAGTGCGGGGGCCCTATTAAGGGGTATTAAGGGGGTGAAATCAATGACCATACCAGATAGGCTGCAGCATCCCCGCTGGTGCCATTTGCTGCATAAGTCGAGAACCCCTTGTCAGCGGTTTGGGACTTGTCTCTGCTTTGCAGAAGACACAGACATGGTCCTAGTCTGTCTTTTTAGAATTTGCTGCGGTCAAAACATGCAAACAGACTCAAAATATTCAACTAAACAACAATAATGCAAGTTCAGCCAGGCAGATTGGGCCAGTAGGCAGACCCCTTTGTAACTGTGGGCCGCACCCTCTGCCCCCTAACTCACTCTACTACAGATCACAGTGATCCGTGAGATCTTTTCTTCATATACATCTCAGAAGTATTAAAGGAGGTGTAAAATAGATGAGGGAATTGTCAAAGCATGGCTTTGTTACTTAGATGTAGTATTTTTTGAGTAGGCAGCAAAGGATTTGGATCTATATTAGATAAAATTATTAAATGTCTATCAACAAAAAACAAAACATATTTTATTTCACAAACATGCGGAACAATTAATGAGCAGGCTGCATCCTCCCTTTCATCTTATTCTCAATATCATTTCCTCTGTCTTCCCCTTTCTTGTGCAGATCCCCCAGATCAGCTACGCCTCCACAGCCCCAGAACTTAGCGACAACACTCGATATGACTTCTTCTCCCGTGTGGTACCACCAGACTCCTACCAGGCCCAGGCCATGATGGACATTGTCACGGCAATGGAGTGGAACTATGTGTCTACCCTAGCCTCGGAGGGCAACTATGGAGAGAGTGGTGTGGAGGCATTCATCCAGATCTCAAGAGAAACTGGTAGGAGCTGCATTTTAATTGGTTTCTGTCACTGAAATATGATACAGATGGTAGTGTATCAGTGCATTCCAAGCAGCATGAAGTCTTCCACACTGTTGGGAGTTACATATGGATGTTTGGAGATTTGCCTTTAAACCTTCCCCTATCTTTAGCCCTTGGGGTTAAATGTTAACAAAACAAGTTCCATAGATCAAAATGCATAAATTGGTGTTTCCATATTATGAAGTGTTTGAGACTTTGTGTATTAATAATCTAGTAAACAATTATAGGAATATTTTTTCCAGGTTAGCATGTCTGAAGCTAAGTTCTTTCTGTGGTGTGCAACACATTCACTCTGTCACTCAGTGTAGGTTACAATTTGAATGCGCTTCAATAAGAGCAGAGCCGAAGCCGACACCACCATAAAGACCTGTTAAACAGCCAAGTTGTACACTTCTTCTCTGCTGTTAGTAATAACTATGATATCTTGTTCCTAGTGCAGTCTGGGGTATGATACATGATTAGTGGTTTAGGCCTGTAATTTCAGAACTATAGCAAGAATAGAGTGGAAACAGGTTGTTTAAGTCTCTGGGGAAACTGCAGGGAAACTTCACTCCAGGTAAATTGCAGGCTGTAGATTGAAGACTGTGGTAAGTGAGCTGAAATGGAGAGTTGTCACAGCAAGGAATGTGATGGACAAGTATAGCCTTCTTATCAGCTTTCTTTTTGGAGCTACAGTGGTGTGAAAAAGTGTTTGCCCCCTTACTGATTTCTTATCTTTTTGCATGTTTGTCACACTGTAATGTTTCAGATCGTCAAACAAATTTATATATTAGTCAAAGATAACACAAGTAAACACATCATGCAGTTTTTAAATGAAGGTTTTTATTATTAAGGGAAAACAAAATCCAAAACTATAGAGCCCTGTGTGAACAAGTGTTTGCCCCCCTGTCAAAACACTGGTTTATCGCACCTGAGTTCAATTTCTCTTGCCACACCTGTTCGCAATCAAGAAATCACTTAAATAGGACCTGCCTGACAAAGTGAAGTAGACCAAAAGATCCTCAAAAGCTAGACATCATGCCGAGATCCAAAGAAATTCAAAAACAAATGAGAAAGAGAATAATGGAGCTCTATCAGTCCGGAAAAGGTTATAAAGCCATTTCTAAAGCTTGGGGACTGCAGCGAACCACCAGCAAAACAGCCCCAGACCATCACACTACCACCACCATATTTTACTGTTGGTATGATGTTCTTTTTCTGAAATGCGGTGTTACTTTTACGCCACACATAATGGGACACACACCTTCCAAAAAGTTCAACTTTTGTCTCGTCTGTCCACAGAGTATTATCCCAAAAGTCTTGGGGATCATCAAGATGTTTTCTGGCAAAACTGAGACGAGCCTTTATGTTCTTTTTGCTCAGCAGTGGTTTTCGTCTTGGAACTCTGCCATGCAAACCATTTTTGCCCAGTCTCTTTCTTATGGTGGAGTCATGAACACTCACCTTAACTGAGGCAAGTGAGGCCTGCAGTTCTTTGGATGTTGTTGTGGGGTCTTTTGTGACCTCTTGGATGAGTTGTCGCTGCGCTCTTGGGGTAATTTTGGTCTGCCGGCCACTCCTGGGAAGGTTCTCCACTGTTCCATGTTTTCGCCATTTGTGGATAATGGCTCTCACTGTGGTTCGCTGCCGTCCCAAAGCTTTAGAAATGGCTTTATAACCTTTTCCGGACTGATAGAGCTCCATTATTGTCTTTCTCATTTGTTTTTGAATTTCTTTGGATCTCGGCATGATGTCTAGCTTTTGATGATCTTTTGGTCTACTTCACTTTGTCAGGCAGGTCCTATTTAAGTGATTTCTTGATTGCGAACAGGTGTGGCAGTAATCAGGCCTGGGTGTGGCTAGAGAAATTGAACTCAGGTGCGATAAACCAGTGTTTTGACAGGGGGGCAAACACTTGTTCACACAGGGCTATATAGTTTTGGATTTTGTTTTCCCTTAATAATAAAAACCTTCATTTAAAAACTGCATGATGTGTTTACTTGTGTTATCTTTGACTAATATATAAATTTGTTTGACGATCTGAAACATTACAGTGTGACAAACATGCAAAAAGATAAGAAATCAGTAAGGGGGCAAACACTTTTTCACACCACTGTATATGTAGAGTTTAACAATGGCACAGGTTTATATGTAAGCATGCACAATTTTCCTGTTATGTGTATTGTGCTGGGAAAATTGGTAGAACATGCTCCAGTCAAAATGTAATTCAAATCTAAAAAATAAACATTAGCTATTGCTATTCTATGATCAAGATCAAGACTTTTTTATTGTCAATTCACTATATGTGCAGGACATACAGAAAAATCGAAATACTATTTCTCTCTCCTCATATTGAATGCCCCTACTATTTAAGAAACTAAATAGAATAAAAGTAGAATAAACTCAGAATAAATAAAATATGAAGACTGAATTAAAGTAATTAGCATAAACTAAATGGTACAATCTAATAGGCTATGAAGAAACTCAAAGCCATGTGCAAACAGTGACAGTAGTGCAAATAATAAAAAGAAGATTGTCAGGTGGTCAGCATCACCAGGGGCGTTGGTGATGAGATGCATAATAGCTTATGAAATGTACATTTACAGCAGTGCAAATGGCAACAGCAGTAGATGTTGGAGTGATGTTAAAAAACAGTCAACTGCAGATTTATATATAATATAACAAAAAGGGGGAATATATTGAGTTTGCACAAACAGCAGAGGTAGTCTTTTTTAAAGTCCTGTGGTGGGCTACGGTCCAGGGCCGGGGGGCCGGGGTAATGGGACAGCGTTCAGCATCCTCACAGCCTGGAGGATGAAGCTGTTTGTAAGTCTGGTGGAGTGGGCCTGAAGACTCCGACTCCAGGAGTCTGAAGTGGGAGTGTGCGGGGTGGGAGGTGTCATCAGCAATGCCAATGGCTCTGCAGGTGAGGCAGGTGTTAAAGATGTCCGTAAGGGAGGGCAGAGGGGCACCAATGATCTTTCTGGCTGTTTTCACTATGCGTCGCAGGGTCGTTCTGCAGGAGGCAGTACAGCCCACACAGTGATGCAGCCAGTGATGGCGCTCTCAATGGTGCCCAGATAGAAAGAGCGCATGATGGGGGGTGGGACCCTAGCTCGCTTCAGTTTGCGGAGGATGTAGAGGCATGACTGAGCTTTCTTGGCCAGTGATGTGGTGTTGATGGTTCACCAGAGGTCCTCAGAGATGTGCACCCCCAGGAACTTGGTACTGCTCACTCTCTCCACTACAGCATCGTTGATGGTCAGTGGTGGATGTTTTAGAGGTTTTCTCCTGAAGTCCACAATTAGTCTTGTTGCTCTTATACCACTGGACCTGTTGGCACACCTCACTCCTGTAGTTGGCCTCATCATTGTTGGTAATTAGGCCAACTACAGTCGTGTCATCTACAAACTTGACAATGTGGTTGGTGCTGTAGGTTGGCACACAGTCGTGGGTCAGCAGTGTGAAGAGCAATGGGCTGATCACACACCCCTGCGGAGCCCGTGTGCTCAGTGTGATGGTCTTGGAGATGTCACTGCCGACCCACACATTTTGTGGCCTCCCTGTTTAGAAAGTCCAGCACCCAGTTGCAGAGAGAGGACTTGAGTCCCAAGTGTCCAAATTTTTGTGTAAGCTGCTGTGGGGATGATTGTGTTGAATGTTGAACTGAAGTCTAGTAACAGCATTCGCACATAAGAGTTCTTTGAATCTAGGTGGGTGAGGGCTGGATGGAGAACAGCAGTAATGGCATCCTCTGTGGACCTGTTTGACCTGTATGCAAACTGAAATGGGTCATAGGAGGGAGGAAGGATGGACTTGATGTTCTGCATGACCAGCCACTCAAAGAACTTCATAATAATTGAATACAGGCCGATAGTCATTGTAACCGGTTGGGTGGGGCTTCTTTGGAATTGAAACACGTGGGAACAACCGCTTGGCTCAGGGAGACGTTAAAGATGTCCATGAGGACATCCTTGAGCTCCTTGGCACAGTCCTTTAAAACCAGGTATGTTATCTGGTCCAGCTGCCTTGCATGGGTTGATCCTGGAGAAGGTCTTCTTCATGCTGGCTGCGGACAGACATACAGCACCATACTTTAAAAATGCAGTATATTATATATTGAATATATCCAAGGTTCTCCCTAGGTTTTCAGATGGCTAAGGCATTTTTGTTGTTGTTTTGATTATATTTATGACATTATTTATCAACTAACTAGGTTCCTTGGCTAATGTATCTTGGCTAATTCAGTACGTGTTAGCAGTTTCTTTACTTATAAAATAAGCTACATTCTGTTGTTGCCATTCACAAAAATTATTCCCCAACAAAGTCTGCTTCATGTTTTCTTTGTGGAGGCTGATCTTATTAATGATTGTAACTACCATCCTGAGTTGATCTACAGACATATATTCAGTAAGCTATCTAATTAGCTTGGCAATGCTGCCAGTCACACAAACGTTCATCCAAACACTGATTGTTGATTGACAGGTCATTCCTGTTGCCAGCCTATGTTCCAGTGATCAGGTGACTTCTCTGTTATTTCTTCAGTGCATAAAACTGTCATTTTTATATTCATTCTGATATGTTTCCTTTTTGTATTCATTTGGCTTAGCCACTCTGCAAAAACACTTAGGCACTGCACCTCAGCCTTTCCATGGTAGGGCAGAATAATCTGTATTCCCTCGTTTAGTATTTAATGATGGTGATACAGTGTGTGTGTGTGTGTGTGAGAGAGTGTTTTTCAACAGCACAGCAGAGCAATTTAAAAGAAGTTGTTGATGATGTATTCTTTCTCAAACAATTACCTGTCGAGCTTGTCTGGTGCATCTAATAGCTCTCAGAATAAATCTATATCATGCTGTGTTGGCCTATTTTATTGAATAATAGCAATGTTAAAGAAGCTCAACCAAGGCAGTGAAACTAGACTCTGAACTAGAGATTCATTGGGAAACAAGAGCACTCAGAGAGCACATGTACCTCCA